AATCAGAGGTGCCTGGGTGGCTTAGTTCATCGAGGGTCTTACTTCGGCTCGGGTCATGATCTCATGGTTCGTTGATTTCGAGCCCCATAGCGGGCTCTGTGCTAACAGCTCAGAGCCTGGAGCCTGCTTGGATTCTGTGTCTCCCTCTCTCTCTCTGCCCCTCCCTCTACTTGTACCCTGTCTCTCCCTGAAAAATAAAATAAAACATTAAAAAAAAAAAGGCAAGTAATCAGGATGATGTGACAGAGTGACACAGCATGGTTGGGATCATGGATGGTTCTTTGGAGAGGCAGCATCCGAACCCAAGTGAATGAAAAACAGGGACAGGTTGTGCCAAGAGCAGACTTGCCCTGACAGGGGGGATGAGCTTGGCAAGTTCAAGGAGCAGAGAGAATGCTAGGTATCCATGCAGTGACCAAGAGAAACAGGACGAGGAGATTAGAGCACAGGGGTCATCAGGCACCAGGTGACAGGGACAGTGGTGAGAAGTTGGTTTGGACTCTGAAGGCTGTGGGAAACCACTGGAAAGTTCGAACCAGGGCTGTGGTATTCACTGTCTGATTTGTATTTCCAAAGCTTCCTTTAAATGAGTGCATAGGAGGAAGCAGGAAGACTGGTTAAAGGCCACTTTTGGGCATCGAGGCAAAAAAGGATGTGATGGTGTGGGCCAGCAACTGAATAGGGACAAAAACTGCAGGAATCCTGCCCTGGTGAAAAACAATCTCCTTTAAGGTGCATCAAGTAGCAGTTGAAGCCCCTGTTTCTTGAAATTTCTTCACCCTAAGAAGCCAGCATTCTTCATCAACTTTATGTTTCATCCATATTAGGGCGCACCCTCCTTAACTAGACGGCTTTGGCTTTTCTTGTCAGCCTCGCTTGTCTGGGAAGTGCTGTTCTATATTCAGCGCCTCGTGGGTGCTGAATAAATATTGATTAAACAAACCAAGTAATGAATCACGTCTGCTGCAAGTGCGGGTGCTTGGTAAGGTGGAAAGACGGAAGCGCGCTGGATTCTCCTGGCCTTAGGGCACAGCTGGGCTCAGGGCATTTGGAGCAGGGGCGGTGGGAAGTTGGGAGCCACCCCACTCCTTCCAGTCTGTCATGCCCGGGCATGGGGGTGGTCACTCTATTGGCCCGTCCCACTGGGTGAGCGGAGACGGTCCACGCTCATCCCGGAGAATCCTTACTCATCGCTCAAGGATGAGCCTGGAAAATGGTACTCCGGCCGGGGGCACGGGGGCTTCCTGTTGGTGGGCAACACCCCTGAAATGGGACATGAGCTGTGGATGCAGTGGACGGGGGCAGAGGGCACTGAGAGAAGGGTCTCACTCTACAGAGGGGGAGGTGAGAAACCTCCCAAATGCACACAGTTCTGCGTGTTATGGCGGGGCCGCCCCAACTTTTTCTGTAAAGGGCCAGATAATACATCTTTCAGGGCCCTCTGCTGCAATCCTGCCGAGTGTCACAAACGCAGCCACTGACAGTGGGTAAAAGAAGGCGCATCACCGTGCTGTTCAAATACAACTTCACTTACAGGCACCCAAACCTGAATTTCATAGCATTTTCATGGGTTACAAAATATTCTTCTTTTTTTCCTTCAGTGATTTAGCCAGTTCTGTGTAGGAAAAAAAGGCAGGATAAAAAAAACAACATAAAAATCATTCTTTGCTCGTGGTGGGCCAGACAAAAACAGGCGGCAGGCCACCCAGGAGTCATGGCTTGTCAACCCCGACTCTGTACAGGAGAAAAGAGGGAAGACAATCTATCTGAATTTTGTTCAAAAACTGACAATTGAGGGGCACCTGGGTGGCTCAGGCGGTTGAGCATCTGACTTCGGCTCAGGTCATGATCTCGCGGTTTGTGAGTTCGAGCCCCGCATCGGACCCTGTGCTGACAGCTCAGAGCCTGGAGCCTCCTTCGGATTCTATGCCTCTCTCTCTCTCTGCCCCTCCTCCACTCTCTCTCTCTCAAAAATAAATAAACATTAAAGAAATTCAAAAACTGACAGTTTTACATGGTAATAATATTCAAAACTCCTTTTGTCAGGTGCTTGATACAAATGATTTAACTGTATGATATGACATTTCCTGATCCTACAGACGAGGTGGCATCCAATATCTTTTGAGCACCTGCTAATTAAGAGCTATTCTCTCCCAGCTGGTCCCCCAGCTTCCTCTTCACCCTGTTATTTGCTGTCCACACAGAGGCTGGGTGAGTTTCCAATAGTATACACCAAGTCAGTTTTTCTCCTTTTTATTCATTTATTTTTAAAGATTAATTTATTTTTTAATGTTTACCTTTGAGAGAGAGAGAGAGAGAGAGAGAGAGAGAGAGAGAGAGAGAACAGGGAAGGAGCAGAGAGAGAAGGAGGCAGAAAATCTGAAGCAGACCCCAGGCTCTGAGCTGTCACCACAGAGCCCCACGCAGGGCTCGAACCCACAAACCACGAGATCATGACCTGAGCGGAAGTCGGATGCATAACCGACTGAGCCACCCAGAAGCCCCAGTTTTTCTCCTTCTTGAAACAGACCCATGACCTGCCACTTGCCACTTGCATTTGGAACAAGACGCAAATGCCTTATCTCATCCTGGCCTGACCTGGTCTCTGACCACTCTGTCCACAGCTGTCCAGGGCCTTTCTAGCAGCTTCCTTCAGCCTGAGATGCTCCTTTCCTCCTCCGGTTTTAGTGGGGTTGGTCTTCCTTGGGGATTCAGAACTCAGTTCAAACGTCACCATTTTTTCTATGACATGGCCCTGTCTCATTTTCTTCATAGACCTGGTCTTCAATCCCAGTTATCTTGTTAGTTAAACTGTTTACTCATTTCTGCCTGATTCATCTGACGGAAAGGTAATCCCCACTAAAACCAGGCAATTTCTGTCCAATCGCTGCTGCTTCGCCATTCTGGCATTAATGCTTAACAGTCAGTATTATATACTGTTATTACATATTACATATTATTACTATTATATACTATTATTACTATT